AAAAAAAAAAAAAAAACAATTGCAAGAGATATACTAATTAAATACTTAGGAATAAATTTAACCAAGGAGAAGAGCTTTACACTAAAAACTATAAAACATTGATGAAATAAATTGAAGAAGATAGAAATACATGGTAACATACTCCACGTTTATGGATTGGAAGAATTTGTATTGTTAAAATGTCCATGCTACTCAAAGTGATTTACAGAGTTAATGCAATGCCTATCAAAACTCCAATGTCATTTTGTTTTTCAGAAATAGAAAAAAAAATCCTAAAATTTGTATAGAATCACAAAAGATTTCAAACAACCAACGTAGTCTGAGCAAAAATAACAAAGGTGAAGACATTGTCTTACCTGATTTCAAAATCAACTACAAGCTCTAATAATCAAAAGAGCATGATACTAGCATTAAAACAGATACATAAACCAATGGAACAAAATAGTGAGTCCACAATCCACACATTTCATGTCAATTGATTTTTGACGACGATGCCAAGAACACATAATGGAGACACAACACTCTGTTCTGTAATTGGTGCTAGGATATTCAGATGCAGCAGAATGATATTAGACTCTCATCTCAGACCACTTAAAAAAACCAACTCAAAATAAAGAGTTACATCTAAGACCTGAAACTGTAAAACTACTAGAAGAAAACATAGGAGGAAAGCTCTGTGACAGGAGTCTGGGAAAGATTTTTTAGATATGTTCTCAATAGCACATTTTGGTCAACAACAAAAATAAACAAATGGGATTACATCAAAGTAAAAAGCTTCTGCACAACAAAGGAAACAATCAACAGTATAAAAATACAATCTATGGAATAGAATATATTTGCAAGCCATACATCTGATAATGGATTAATGTGTAGACTCTACATGGAACTCAAACAACTCAAGGGACCTGAATAGACTTTTTTTTTTTTTTTCAAAAGAAAGCATACGAATAGTTAACAATTATATGAAAAGGTGCTCAACATCACTAATCATCAGGAAAATGGAAATCCAAAGCTTGTTATCAGTCCACACATGTCAGGATAGCTATTATCAAAAAGATGAAAGACAAGTATGGCGAGGATGTGGAAAACAGGGAATACTTGTATGCTGTTGGTAGGAATGTAATTTATTACAGCCAATGTGGAAAGCAGTATTGACGTTCCTCAAAACATTAAAATTAGAGCTATCATATGATCCACCAATCCCACCATTGGGTTGTATTAGTTCGTTCTCAGATTGCTATAAAGAACTATCTGAGACTGGGTGATTAACAAAGAGAAGAAGTTTAATTGTTCCACAGGCTGTACAGGAGGCATGGCTGAGGAGGCCTCTGGAAACTTACAATTATGGCAGAGTGGGAAGGGAGCACCTTCTTTACATGGTAGCAGGAAAGAGAAAGAGAGCAGGGGAAGGTGCTATACACTTTCAAACAAGCAGGTCTCATGAAAAATCACTCACTATCATGAGAACAGCAAGAGAGAAGTCCTCTCCCATGATGCAGTCACCTCTCACCAGCCCACTCTTCCAACATGCAGGGATTACAATTTGACAAGAGATGTGGTTGGGGACACAAAGCCAAACTATATCATATTTCATATTTCCAAAGGATATGAAATCAGTATGTGAAAGATATCTGCACTTTCATGTTCATTGTAGCACTATTCCCAATAGGCAAGAATCAATGAAGAATGGATAAAGAAACTGTGATGTATATATACAACAGAATACTACTCAGCCTTAATATATAAAGAAAAATTCTATCTGTAACAACATAAATGAACCTGGTAGACATCATTCTAAGTTAAATAAGCCAGTATAGAATGGCAAGTACTGCATGATCTCACATATAAGTTGAGTGCAAAAAGTTGAACTCACAGAGGAGAGTAGAATGGTGGTTACCAAAAACTGGGGAGTGGAGGGATTGGGAAGATGTTGGCCAAAGGACTAAAAAATTTCAGTAGGTTTTAACTGTTCTTACCACAAAAGAGGAGGGTAAGTATGTGAAATAATGAATATGTTAAACAGCTTCATTTAGCCATTCCATGACATTTACATATCAAAGCATCACATTGTACACCATAAATATATACAGTTTTTACTTGTTAATTTAAAAATGAGAAAAATATATAACTTTTTCAATGAAAACTTTCTGTTGTTGCTTAGAGCTATTGGGTTACCTCGTTCCATCAGCAGCAGATCTCCATTAGTATGTGATAAATACATAGTAATAAAATCTCTGAGAACTAAGGACCAATATTATAGAAATGTTGCCATTTATGTGGTGCAAATATTCATTCAAGCCTGCTTCAGGACATTATTGGATATCCTTATCAGGTACTTATACTTTCCATCTGTAATATGGGCTCACTGAAAAATTGGAAGGCTACAATTTGGTGTTTAATTGGCAAAATAAAGTGTATACCCAGGTATGACAGCAGCCAGATAATCACAGAAAATAATTGCAGTTCTCTCCTTCTGGTGGTTATGGGACCCATGAATTATCATATTCACCAGAATGGAGAGCACAACCTCATCAATCAGTGCCTCTCCTTATGAGTACACAAACACAGCCTGATAACTCACCAGAATATTTTCTCAAAACTCAGTTCAGAAAAATCTCAGTTCATGGATATCATACTCATCTCAATCTACCATTTTATATCCTATTCCCCTGAAACATCTTCACGTCTTTTAATCAATTGAAGGAAATATTCTAAGCCTTTACGTCTTTATATTTTGTTTTCTACCATTTTATTTATTCCTTTCCTTGGGAACTCCTTTGAAATGTATTGAATTCTTTACTTGTCTTATTCATTCCTTCATATTTGGCACCCTATTCTTGCCGTATTATTTTTTTTTCTTCATGTCTTTCTTCAAGTTTGCTAATTATCTCTTATCATTGATTTGCTATTTGGTGTATCTTTTAAATTTTTAATCATACTACTTAATTCCAGTTGATTCTTATAAAAATATGCCAGTCATATTTTATCAAGTGCTGGTTTTCCTCATGGCATCTATTTTATTTATAATCTTTGTATTTAACGTTACTATATTCATTTTGGAGATTCTTTCTGGTTTTCTATAAACAAACTTTGAAAAATGTATTTGTCCTGTTTTTTATTCCTGATGACTTTTGCATGTGCTTGACAACTTCTTGATATGCAGTGTCATTTCACATGGTGAAAGCATTTTATGCTGAGAGGGTGAGTATGTGAAAGGGGCTGGACTGCCATACAGTCTGGGTTAAGAAAGCGTTTGC